TAGAGAAACCACAAAAAAAAAAAAAAAAAAAAAAAAAGATGGTAGAAACGGTCCAAAGAAAACGGTCCTAATCCCTTCTGGTGCTTTTGAAAAGTGCCCGTTTAGAGGCAGCGGGCTCCCCACTGAACGAGAAATTGAACGCGGGGTGGCTTACCTGGGAGGGATAAAAGTAACAAATGCCGGCTCTGGTTGGATCTCCTTCTTCCTTTACCTTGGAACCGTCATAAAGAAAAAAATAATTCCACCTGGCAAGAGAACAGAATGGGGCCATGTTTCCTTTTATCCCGCGATCAGTGCATTTTAAAACACAGCTTCTGATTTCCCTGCCTGAGGAGGGCTTGTTACTCAGTGTCTGAAAGCCTTCTGGTGGCCCTGGAGGAGGAAGAAGCCAGTCGCTACAAATAGATAAAACCACTCCATAAGTGCAGGAGACTCAGACTAAAAATATGCCTCCCTCCAGCCGTCAGGCCATCTGCCTGAAGAGACATGAGTAGCGACAGGAAAAAACGGAGTGGCGACAATGACAGCTTTTCCTTGAAACACTGACCCTTAACTAGCCAGCCACATGGTCTGCTATGCTGTCCTTTAAGGCTGATAAACTAAGTTAGGGGCCTCTCAGAGGCACTCCTCACAACTGCACAGTGCTAGGATCTCCAGAAAGCCCTCTGCCAGGAACTCAGGCAGTCCGTTAATAAATGTCCCTCTCTGGGGGCCCACAGCACGCTCTCCACTGCCCAGCAAACTCGGAATTTGAATTCAGGACAGTGAGTCCATGAAGCAGTGGGAAACGGGCCTATGAGAGTTTAAGCCGATCGAAACCTTGCCAGGCCTCTAAGTACCACTCAGACACATTTCCTTATGGACCTTCTACTTGGCCCAGAGGAATGTCTTTCTTCTGAATTTCTAAAACCCTCTGTTCTTCCCTAAAGAAAAGAAACAGACGGGGAAAGGAAGAAAGCACCCCTAAATGGGATCTGGTCATACTACAATCCCTTCTCTTTCCTTTCTCCATCTCGTTGGAATTTGGGGTACAAAGGCTTATGAACCCAGTAAATGTTTTTCAAGCTGCAGGGGCAGGACTCAATCTGCAAACCTCAGCCATGTGGACTCTGGCTCTCTTATCCACTAAGCAAATTGCTCCCATCCCCAAAGACTCTTACAATCTACCCTCCATGTAATTGTAATTTTAAAATATTCTTACAAGCTTCTCTCTCGCTCTGGTCTCATTCCCTCGGCTTAGAGACCCACCAAACTCAACCACAGGGCCCTGCCCTGATGACTTACCATAAGCAAAGGGTGAAGGAATTAAGTTTGCACTTACCGGTGTGATCAAGACCCAAAATATCAACCTGGAGGACATCCAAGCTGGGCCTCTGTGTTTTACGTCTAAGTCTCTGACAGCATGTTTATCAGCCCGTAACAGACAATGTGACTGCTCTGTCCCCAGCATTCCTCTCTGCATCTATGCCTTCTTCTGGGCCTCCCTCTCTGGCTCCCACCTCATCATCCCATGACAAGCACCAATGCTGTCTGCAGTGTGGTCTCCTTTTCCGAGTTCTAGGGACAGACGTGCAACTGGCTGCGGGTAAGCCCATGTGGAAAAGCCTGAACGACATTTCAAAGCCCGCTCGGAACCCCCACCACCCTCCACACTGCCTGCGAGTGAAAACAACCCTGACCTTCCTGGCACAAACATAAACACTGGGGTGTCATTCTGAACCATTCCATCCTTTTTGACTTCCATGCACTGACTCAGTCACTAAATCTCGCTAATTCTAGTTAAACCATGCCTTTTTCACTTTCATCTCTCTGATTAATGTCTGCTGAACCAAATGATCAGAAAGGATTAACCCATTTGGGCTTGAGATGGGAATGGAGTTGGAAGTAGACACTGTGTAAGACCCCTCCAAAGCCAGAGTGGCCCAGTCCCTTCCCATGGTGTCATTCTCAACTGCAACCACCCCAGTCTCTCCAAAGTGAAGACTACAACGCCTTCCTTAGTATCAAGCCAGCTGCAAGACCTGCTATCATTTTTACAATCTGCCAGCAATGCCGGATTCGTTCAAACACTGCCAGAGGCTTGCAAGGTTAAAGCATATTAGCTTTGGAGAGAAATGGCTCATACACTTCATTTGGCTGCTTGAAGAAAACTGGCTTTTTTTAAACAAAGCCAAGACTTGGGCTAGCTGCAGTGGCATGGCAGTAACACAATGCCCTGCAAGGCTGGGCCCACCCGGGATGGTCTCAGGTTTGTACTCCAAGGTCTCCCTGCACACACAGGAAGTACCCGTGATATGGGCAGACTGAGGCTGGGGTTGGACCGAGGCAGGAGGACCCTGTTGAAGGTGTCTCTTCCCTCTCAGAAAAAATAAACAAACAACAACAACAATTGAGACATAGTTGGCCTTCTAGCCTAACGGTTAAGAGAGCCAGATCCCACAAAGCCAACTGCTTCTTGAATCCCAGCCCTGACAGCTTGAGAAACGCAGTGGGTACATGTGCATGCACGCCCCAAGTCCCAACAGGATGGAGAAATGGAGGGGAAGGAATTGCAGTGTGACCACCCCCATCAGCAAGTGTGTCCCACCACCACTGTCTCCCTCTGGCAAATCCCTGCACCATACAGCAATTAAAAAAAAAAATTTAGGACAGGGCCAGCAGGTCATATGGAGGTTAAGGCACTGGATCCCACATGGCCAGCTTCACAGTTCAAGTCCAATTCCTAGCGACTTGAGAATCATGCCAAACACATGTGTGTGTATTCCCAAAATCCCAAGAGGTGACTGAAAGAGAAGGGACTGCACCATGGCCATCCTCCCTGGGGAGTGATTTCTTAATTTCCCTCTTTGTCTCCCTCTGGCAAATACATACATCCTACACCAAAAACTTAAAAAAAAAAAAAAAAAAAAAAAACATAGCTGAGGTTTTTCCATTAACCCCAGAGATCCATCTGGCTGCCTGGCAAGATCTAAACCCTGTAGGCCTGGCTACTCACCAAGAGGCTGCCTTTGTCTCTGGGGAGGTGGAGGCAGCCATTTAATTTCCAGTCACCCTCATGCTCTTCCTTTGGGTTTTCTTTTGCAGTATCCCTTTTCCCCTGAGCTGTGACAGTCCTTCTGTCACCCAGTGCAAAGAATCGAAATGCTGTAGGTTGAAGTGTTCTCAGTTCCACTTGCTTGGTTTTCATTCAGCATGAAAGTGCTACTTCCCTTGCTTGCAGGCTCTCTGAATCCATGAATATCTCTACACCTCTCAGAACTCTGGCAGAGAAGACCATCAAGCAAGAGAATTCTAGCAGCAAAGTCAAACCCTCTAGTCCGGTTCCATGAGCATCAGTGGAACTGTTTGCAGAACGGCCTCTTGAAGTCCCTCTCCAGGAAAGCCCGACAGGATAGAAACATGCTGGAAACAGCACTCTGAAGGGGTTTTTAGCTCATCTAGTTCAAAGTCATCCTGAAGGTTCTTTTACAACTTTTGAAGCTTCCAGTTCAAACAGCAGCACCTTCGTTCTGCAATAAACACAAGGAATAGATTATTTCTGAAACCCACGAGAGAGCATGTGACCCAGCAGGGTTAAACAAATGGTATATTTAAAGGAGCTTTCGAAAACAGTGAAAATCATGTTTCAAAATCTAAAAGGGAGGGGAGCAGAGACTTCAGAGAAAGTGCCTTAGTTGTCTGAACAGTTATGGAAAGCAAACCACTGATATATTTATCTCAAATAATTAGTGTAAAAATGACTTGGGCTTAGTGAAGGAGTAAGCAATACAAATTAAGCAGCTGGAGTAATAATGGAACTCAAAATTAAGGAACCGTCACTTTGACAGCTCAAAAGTAATCAGAACATGTAGAATTCCAGAGGTGGGCAAGTTTTCAAAAAACAAAAGAACTTTTTCAAGAGGCTTTCAAATGCACATGATAGAAAGGCGACTCAGTATATACAATTTCAGAGTCAGAAGGGATCCTGGCATCATACACTCCAATCCTCCTCCCTCCTCTTACATTCTTTCCCCAAAACTACCCTGACTGCCTTTGGCCTACTCTTCCAGAGACAGGTGGTTCACTAAGTTAAGTTTATCCTTCCTTCCACCTAACTAAAATCTGGCTCCTAGTAACCGGCACTCACTGGTCTGGATAACACTCTCCAGGAAAAAAAGGTCTAATCCTTCCGTGTGATGACTTTGGGGACTTCAAAACTGTATTGCTATTATCACTTTCTCCAAGCTTCTGTCCCCAGTAACACACTCAAGTGCTTGCTCACCATTTTGCCATCTGTGGAAACAACACAATTTGTTAAGGTTTCTTTGGGACAGAAGTCCCTACAGGGGACCCCACTGCATCTTCGATGGCCTGTGTAAACTCTCTCTTTACTGAGCTCAGGATATCTTGGGGAAGGCCCCCACCACAGGATCACGCTCGTTTGCAGTCCATGGAGAATAAGTGGGTGCCTGTGGAGGGGGCATCTCAGGTCCTGGAACCTAAGACAGCGGCCCGAAACCCGCTATTCCTTGTTCCCCGAAGACTAGGCCCTACACTGCCAAGGTCCACTCTTATCTCGGAAAGGTCCAGCAGAGACCAGTAATGGTCCTGGTGCAGAGACAGGTCGGTCGGGATGTGACCAGAGAAGGCTCTGGCAGGTTGGAAGTAAGAAGTGGCCGGCAACGGCCAGGGGGTGGTGGTATTGGTACAGGAAGTGGCCTCAGGTGGTCAGCGGGGCTGGAAATGGGTGAGAAGGGGCGCTAATGGGTGAGAAGGGCCCGGAAGCTGCCAGTCCAGCCCCCGAGGCTCAGGAAGCGATCGGTAACCGCAGAACTGCTCTGCCAAGTCTGGAGACCGGGAAACGGTGGGCAAACACCGGGGGTCAAGCGGGGCCCGCCCCTCGGGGTCCCCGCGCTTCCGAGCGCCACCCACCCACCGGAGTAGCCAGGCAGCCCGTGCTCGGGTTCGGGACTCTGCACTCGGGATGTGGGTGGCGGCGGGCGAGGGACACTCCAGCCCAACACGGGCGCGCGCGGCGGAAAGAACCCAGGTCACGCGCCGCGCCGCGCCGCCCCGCCTACCATCCGCTGAACCCGACGCGCGCCGCTCACGGAGAACGCCGTG